CCGCAGGATCAAGATGCAGGCATGGGGCGAGGGGGGAGCTTGTACTACTCGAAACGCTGCTGCCAGTCTGAGGGTACACCGTTTATAACATATGGAGCTTCATGTATGGTCGGCTACCCCGCGCGCTAGAAATCTTTCTGCGCCTGCTTAGATGATGTGCAGATATTTCCTGGATGCTTAGACTAAGGACATGTCAGTTATCATGGGGGGAAGCTTCACCATGTGTTTCGAAACGATGATGCATCCCCGCTGAACTATCGATGTCATGCAGCACAGTGTCACATACCTACACTTGATTCCTGGAAATTTGGGGTCACAACAGGGTAAGTATTGCCTTGCCAGTCGGTTCAGCAAAGTATACCTCATGTCCTATCCCCGGTTGTGAAGGGGAAAGACCCAATAGAGCGAATGTTGCCACAACAATACTATCACCGTCGATCCAAGCAACAACCTAACTTCCATGTGCTGTACATCATCGTCATACATCTATTTACAAGTGATGACGACGTTCGGTTACTCGCCACATTCTACGCTCATATGACCGACTTTGGTGCAGTATTCTGACATGCCGTGCAAGTAGCCGGCTGTGTTGATCTATATAAAGGCTTTGAAATTCCTGTTGATGCCTTACCCACTAGACCAACCACATCAACCCACATACTGCTAGGTGCCAAAGAGCATACATCTTACATCTAGGCGAAAGATATCCCAAGCCAGCACGATGCATACTCCCAAAATTATACTGTCCTTGTGCATTGCCATCGGTATGGCTGCGGCCTTACCTGGTAAGTAGCTCACCAGCCCCATGAGAAGATTCTGTATTGACATTCGCAGCCGTCGGATCTACCAACGGGCTAGACGGTGACTTGTATAACTACAAACGAGGTACTAGTGAGCTCGACGGGGATCTCTACAATTATAAGCGGGACAAGGCAGAGCTTGATGGAGATCTTTACAACTACGGACGAGACAAAGCAGAGCTTGACGGTGATCTTTACAACTACAAACGGGGAGGGTATAAGCGGGACAACGCTGAACTCGATGGGGATCTCTACAACTACAAACGCAGCAAGGCTGAACTTGATGGAGACTTGTACAATTACAAGCGTGGCACTGCTGAGCTTGATGGTGACCTTTACAATTACTGAGTCTGCATTCGTCTTTGCGCAATCTTTGGCATGTTATTCGGGGGAGGGGAGAATCAATGCAAATTAATCCGTTGACGGTAGGTTTGGGAGACAGCCTGAGTTTGAAGCGCTCCGATTTTGGAAATATTCTATCTCATAGCTGTTTTTGTAGCTCAATGACACATCTTGCAGTAGCTGTGATACATTACCCTAAAAATGTCTCTACCCTAGCTTCCAATACCTTTGTCGAGTATCGGAAAAGGTATCCTTACGAGCATAGGCATTCAACTAACAAATCAGACTGCATAAAAAGCTTATACATCACCTCTCTCTTAAATTTGTGCTCGAGGTAGACAGTTTCGTAAAAGATGTACTCGTGACCTCTGAGCTGCACATATCGACAAGAGCCAGTCATAACTGTAGTCTACAAATCACTTTCTACCGTATCACAGGTCCATTACGCATTCTATTCTACCTCTCAAAGCAACCAAACAAGCACTCACAACGGCATCAAATCCCTCACCCTTACCACCTCCCCCTTCCGCATAGACTCATTGGCCGCAATCCCCGTAGCAATAGACCACGCCCCATCAATATGCGTCGCAGCCCTACCCAGAGGATCCGCATCGGGAGTACCAAACAGATCCTTCAGCAATTGGGGATCCCCACCCCCATGCCCTCCCTGACCCGTTGGCACCTCAATCTCCACCGGCTTCTCAAACAAAGGCCTTAAAAGAACACTCTGCCGTTCAAGAGCGCCCTCCAAAGCCTGCTCGCCCCCGGAGTTAACATACGACTGCTCCACGACCTCCACCTCCAGCCGACCTTTACTCCCGGTAAAGTTCACCCGGAATCCCTCCCAAGGCGCATACGCCGTGAGACTATACGTCATCACAGCCCCGGATTCATACCGGACCATCACCCCCATCGTGTCCTCAATGCTGATGCCATCCCCGAACACGCTCTGATCACGATAATATCCGTCTTCCCACTCTGCATCCGCGTACATCCCTTTCAACTTCTCATTACCTTCCAGGTCCAGAGAGAACGGATCATCCCGAGCCACTTCACTCCCGCGAGAACGCGAGTAGAATCTCGTCTCGCCGCGTCGCTCGGCATTCTCCTTCCCGTAGAAGCGCAGATCTCCCATCGCAACGACAGTCTCAGGTCGAGTGCGGAGCCAGAAATTCACCAGGTCGAAATGGTGCGTGGACTTATGCACCAGCAGACCCCCGGTATTTCTCTTATCGCGATGCCAGCGACGAAAGTAGTCCGCTCCATGGGATGTGTTGAGCACCCATTCGAAATGCACGGCATTGATCTCGCCAATAGCGCTGCTGGCCAGCAGCTCCGCGATGCGCGTGTTATGCGGTGCGTAGCGGTAATTGAATGTCACTCGAATTTGGCGCTGGGTACGGTCCACGGCGTCGAAGATCTGTCGACAACGCGGCGCGTCGATGGTCATGGGCTTCTCTGTGATGACGTTGCAGCCCAGTTCCAAGGCACGGACGATGTACTGGTGATGGGTGCGGTCGATAGTGGTGACGATCACCACGTCCGGACGAGTCTCCTCGATCATCCGGTCAAAGTCCCGCGCATTGTACGTCGGAATTGCAGCGTGACCTAGCGATTGGATCTGCGAGTTGGCGTATGCCAGACGAGTGGTGTTGGTGTCGCAGAAAGCGACGAGCTGAGCCGTGCTGGGCCCATGGCACAGGAAGAGAAAAGGCAGCGGACTTTCTAGCCACTGTCAAGGAGGAAGAGCGGACATTCAGTCCAGAAGAAGAGAAGCACGTCCTTAGACGCATTGATCTCCGTATCCTCCCTCTCTTGCTAGTAGGAGCATACTTCTTTCAACAGCTAGACAAGTCGACGCTGTCATACGTGTCCATCTTTGGCCTCGTCGAGGATGCACATCTACACGGCCAGCAGTACTCATGGCTTGGGTCGATTCTGTACCTTGCCCAACTAGTCGTGCAGCCACTTGCAGCCTTGCTACTTGTGAAGGCTCCTACCGGCAAAGTCATCGGAACGGCAGTGCTGCTATGGGGAAGCTCGCTGGCCATCATGGCGGCATGCACAGACTTTCCCAGTCTACTAGGGCTGCGGCTGACATTGGGGACATTTGAGGCTATGATTGGTATGTTCTAGCTTCATACAGAGCAGTCTAGTTGCTAACAAAAAAGCACCCTCATGTGTGGCCGTCACACAAATGTGGTGGCGTCGAGGCGAGCAGACCCTTCGAACAGCGATATGGAACGCGATGAACGGGGTCACCTTTATAGTAAACCCCCTACTATCATCCTATACAAGCCATCCTAACTATTCCCCCAGGTCGGTAGTCTCTTCACCTACGGACTCGGCCACATCCACAACGACAACCTCTACTCCTACCAAGTACATCTCCCCACTATCCCCAATAATTCCATAATAACCCTCAAAACAACAGATAATCTTCATGTTCTGCGGCCTCCTGACAGTCGCCTACTCAACCCTAGTCCTCCTCTTCATGCCCGACTCCCCAATGGAAGCCAAATTTCTCTCCGACCGCGAGAAAGTCATCGCCGTGGAACGTCTCCGGGCTAACCAAATGGGCATCATCTCGCGGGAGTGGCGATGGGATCACGTCTGGGAGACAGCATACGACGTGAAGACGTGGCTGTGGTTTTTCCTCATCGTGACTATCTCGTGCGTAAACCCCTCCCAACCTCCCCTCCTCCCCTATTCCACCATTATAACTAACCGGATGCAGAATCCCCAGCGGCGGCATCAGCACATTCGGCAACCTAATCATCAAATCCTTTGGCTACGGATCATTCGAAACCATCCTGTTCAACATACCCTTCGGCGTTATTCAGGTAATCGCCATCCTAGGCGGAGGATGGCTGGCTGCAAGGTTCCAGAGGAAGGGGCTAGTGATTGCCCTGTTTGCGGGGATTTCTGCCATCGGGACGTTGTTGATGATTGTTGTGCCGAGGGAGCAGAAGGGGGTGCTTTTGTTTGGGTATTATTTGGTATGCCCTCCCACCCCCTTCCATCCCTTCCTCATGGAGATGTAGTATATTGATGATGTATGTACAGGTCTCCTGCCTCGCGGCCATAACACCCCTCGTATATGCCTGGGAAGCGCAAAACACAGCCGGCGATACGAAGAGGAAGTGTACGTCGGCTGTGGTGTTGATTGGGATGTGTGCGGGAAATGTAGGCCCCCCCCCTTCCCCTACCCCTCTTATAACCATAATCCATCCTAAGAGTAGGGTTTATAGCTAACGCAATTGATAATTTGGCAAGGTCATCGGCCCCCAACTCTACTCCACCTCCCAAGCACCGCTCTATCGACCGGGTCTTATATCGAATCTTATCCTGTTTGTGCTGGTAGCTGTATTTTCCATGTATGTCTATCCTCTCTCTCTCTCTCTTGTTCTTGTGTGTGATGTGTGAAATGGATTCAGGTCTAACTGACCCCCGCAGTCTCGCTAATCTATACCTCATATACCTTAATCGGAAACATGCACGACGGAGGACGGAATTGGGCACGTCGGCTCGGATTGTGGATGAGTCTATGGTTAGGAAGAAAGCGGTAGAACAGGGGAAGGTGGTTGAGGTGGAGGATGTGGGTGCCAATGTGAATGTGACGGGGGAGAGGGTGGGTGTAGATGGTGATAAGGGGTTTTCGGATACGACGGATTTGAGGAATGAGGATTTTATTTTTGTTTATTGAACGGGGGTTTTTCCTTGGGTGGGATTGTTTTGGAAGGTTGTTTGGTTTTAAGTAGTTTATTAAATATATGGTTTGGTAAATGAGGGTTAAGAAGGAAAGGAGACTGTTGAGCTGATGTGGTGAGGATCTCCGATATGACTGTAAGTTGTTGATCACTCGTCATCCTCGTCGTCCTCGTCGTCCTCGTCCTCATCATCGTCGTCATCCTCATCGTCCTCCTCGTCATCCACATCATTATCATCATCCTCATCCTCGTCATCAGCAGAGCTGCACTTCCCACTATCACAGACTAAATCATCCGAGCAGTCATCCTCAGTAGAACAAATAGCGCCTGCAAAAAATCAATATGAGCCATTGTATTCGTATCGACCGGAGCGTCCACGTACCTTCGCAATGTCCCTCCCAGGAACAGGTGGCCGTGGAGCCCGAAGGACTCGGCGTGCTGGCGGCGCTCGTGGCCAAGGTGGTCTGGGAGGGCACGCTGGCGCTGGCGCTGGAGCCAGAGCCAGAGCCTGACTTGGAGAGACCCAGGTTAGACGCGAGAGCGCCGACCAGCTTGTCGCCCATTGAGCGCAGGGTGCTGAAGTTGGTGATGTAGTTCTTGTCCATCGCACTGCTGGGGAGGACAGCGTCGTCGCCGGTGAAGACGATGTCTGTTTCTGTATTAGATAGCCCGATTTTAGGTCAGCCGGGGTAGGGCTTACAGGTTACGTCTGCTTCGGCGTGTCCCTCGGCTCCGTTGAGATCGTCGTCTGGGAAGCAGGTGCGGGCCATGAGCCATGAGGCTTCGCCGGTTACCTCGGGGTCGTCGCCGTTGGAGTCACCTAGGATGCCGTAGTACATTTTGCCGTTGCTAAGGAGGTCAGTCAGCATGATGGTTGAACAGGTCAAGGGCAGACTCACCAGATCACTGCGGCAATGTTGTTACCCGGAAGCAAGTCCTCGTTGGCCGTGAGGAACTGGTCCGGGATGACAATCCAGGGAACCTCATACGCTGACAGAGCTCCCCAGTTGGTCTCGGGCAGGCCATCCCCGTTGCCCTTGCACTTGTAGTCTATGCCATCACAATCGACATCCATGTCGGCTACCCAGCTGAGTGCGGCACCCTGTAGTCATTAGCGAGGGTTCTGCCACCCATTCGAGGGAGGTTGCAACATACTTGGTTGAACTTGACCCAATCGCTATGAATGGTCGACTTGGGAGAATTCTTGTCCGTATTGACAGGATAGGTAGCCTTGGATGGCACAGAACTTGCCTTGGCTGCGGCCGACTGCAAGGCCGCGACGGGCAGGGTCGTGGCCGCGGCAAAGTAGCTGGCCGGAGGACCGTTGGTTGGGCTGTTATACTTGGAGCCATCCACGGACTGGGCTTTGACGGAGCCCGCGAGAGCGAGGAGTGCGAGACCGGCGGTGGTTTCGAATGCCATGATGAGAAGGTGGTGATAGGTGATGATAGAAGTGAACCAGATAGATAAGGAACGATGAGAGGGATGATGATGGTGATGATAGCAATGATCGAGGCGAGCAGGCAATTTATATCTTCATCGTCGAGGTAGATGGTCTCGCTTCACATCATGTCCATTCACTTGTTATCGAGAGAGTTGAGGTCTGGTGGAGCTTGGCCCCCAAGTCGAGTCGGAGCGAGCTTGTCGATGGAGATCCGATGTCTCGTCACTGTGTCATCAGCGGGGGAAGTTAATGTTGAGCATCGTGTTGAGAGCTGTTGAGAAATCTTCTTATTTCTCTTTTTAATTTCTTAGCTTCACGTTTGATGAGTGATGTTTCTACAGTTAAAAACGGGTTATTCACAGGACAGGTGGTGATTGCCACGCTGAGCAGATGATGCTATCCCCGTTGACCTGCGACCGTTTCTCCTGCACTATTAGACCCCAACCACATACACTGCAGGGACCGAAGTCAAAACGAAGCGCTAATGACTAAAGAAGACCCTGAATGGTGTTTAGCGATCCAGGGTACGAGGGTTGAAGAAGCGTTTCAGCCCTTTCAGCCCGCGGGAATCCGGGAAGGAATGGGAATACGACCTGGGGGCCTTGGGGGCGGCCACAGGCGAGGTTTTGATATGGAGTCGGAAACCCTTTCCATATATTTTGTTTGTCATACAATGGGATTGTGAAGGTGGAGGATCGCCATAGGATCGCCAGTGACCGTTGTTGAGGTTAAATATAGAGATGGGGTGGTTTGATAGTGAGACGGCCCCCGACCGGATCATCTTCAGTGCCCGAAGTGGAAGGTGATTTCATGAGTGACCTGAGTTCATTTCATATGGGGTCAACGAAGGGGTAAATTGTCGTTCGATCGCTGGTGAATACTCTGCGGATAATTCCGCGTCTTTTGACGATTAAGATCATCGGACATTATGGCTGCCTTGCACCCACCCATCCTTGTTTCTGGGAGTCCGGTGAGAGTGATCCGTGGCATAGACGATGACAGAAGCATTCTTTGAATTCATTATTGATGTGTCAGTTTTCAGAAGTCTACGGAAACAATTCCCGACCGTGAGATTGGAGAATGGTTCGACCGATCGAGCTGACAAGATCGTGAAATGAGGGCTGACAGCCCTGAGGGGAGGGTATAAAGGCGGCCATCCGTCATGCCACGGGTTACAAGGGACAGCCGGTAGTCCTCAGCCATCGGAGGTATTCAGGGCACAGCTGGTACCAGAGAGACCAATGCTGAATTCCACTAGGGTTAAGTTAAGAAGCTACGGGTTCTGAGTGAGATGGACAGGCACATCTGGTCATGGAACCGACTCCACGAGGCCATTTTCTACGACTAAAGGGCGACTTTGCACGGTCGCGTGCGGTTTCTACTTTTTAAATCGCCTTGCATCAGGCACCACTCAGGGCTAGGTGTAGACAACTCAGCGGTGCCAACGCAGGTACATGGATTGAGCCCTGACCGGAAGAGATGGGAAGATGGGAAGTGGAGGATGGACGATCTTTGCTCGATGCGTGCCTCTCAGGGACCGTCGAGATCCGTTGTTTAGTCACAAAGTCAAGTAACCTCGGGTCAGATCTCGATCCCACCCAGCCATGTGCCTTGTCCTTGTCCACTTCAATTGTTACCCTCACAATGAAATTTTCATCATCGCAATCATGTTCCGAGGGTTGCAAGATCAATTCCTGGAGTTAAATAGGAAGATCTAAAATTTGTCAGGTTGCACCAGATCTGCCTGTACTTTTCCACTTCTCTGCAATCGGAAACACCAACAACACTACTACCATGATGACTATGTATGGCAGTGCAACAGTTGGGGTCGGGTTTCAGCCTCTACGGGACAAAACACAATCCTCCGGGGCCGAATATTCCCCCCGGGTTGATGCTGGCTGGCAGGTTGGGATTGCCTCAATGTTGCTTGTGTTGATGTGGTGTGATGATGGTGCAGGAAGAGATGCTCGGCAGATGACCTGTCTGGTGACAACCAGACGATGTGATCGGTGCGAGCAGGGGTATTTACCCTGTAGATGAATCAATCCATAGTAACTAGCATCAACTACTACTGTAGGAACCCCTGGGTGTGCCTGGACCGTTCCTGCATGGATGTCCTGCCCGACCGCGTCAGCCGGTTGGGGCCAAACATGGAAACCCGTTCATCCAAGAAGGAAAGGATTGCTGATTATTTTCCCGTCAACCAACACCAAAACCTAACTTGGTACTGTCAAAGCCCGGCCTGGATGTCACCCCCCCCAAAATCCAAAGAAAAGTGACCTCCCTGAAAGCCCCCGCTGAGGGGGGAAGAGGGGGAATTCGTGCCGGAATCCATCATGGACGCGGGCAAGGTAATATCCACAAAATGGATCAAAGGACAAAGAAAAAGAGAATCAGGGGGGCATAAGGAGAAGGGCTAGAAGCAACTCTCCCCACTCCACCAGTTATTATCCATTCAAACCAGTTAAACCAGTTAAACCAGTTAAATCAGTTAATTACCGTTGAAATGAAATGGGTGTTTATTTTTATGAAGAACAAGCATCGGCCCTAAGAATAGCTTGCTATTTTTATCCCGTTACTATTGGATGGTTAGTCTTGATTGTGCCTCTGTGATTTGCCACTCGGCTGCCGGGGTGTCAATTTCGTGGCTGTCCCTGGATCCAACCAGCATTCGCCAAGGTCACCAGAGCTCCACTGCGCTCTTTTGTCATCCCGGCGGGGACATTCCTGATTGGACCATGTGGCAGCCACAACTCCACTCTCTCCCAGTGGTGGGGTGGAGTCCAACTCAGGCACGAGTCTCTCCCATTGGCTACAAGTTTTCACTGACGGGGCGGCCGAATTTCCGGGTTCAGGCCAATCTGGTCGGGCCTCGAGTCTAGAATGTCTCGGTTGCCTCCCTTAGTTTCCTTTCCCTTGTCGTCTCTCTCTCTTTTCCCCTCATACATCTTACTTCTTCTCCTCTTCTCCTCTTCCTCTCTCTCTTCTTCTCTTCAATCCTCTCTCTTTCCAACTCAGAACTCGGTTTATTCCTTGTTCATTCCATTCTTTCTCTTACACTCCATCGCTCTCAGCTTTCTGTGTAGCGTCTCACTCTCTTTCCCACCTTACTCACTCTTTATAATCCCTTACGTTCTTTTTCACGACCGTCACCATGCTCTCCAAGATGCAGCTCGCCCAGCTGGCCGCTTTCGCCATGACCCTGGCCACTTCCGAGGCCGCCTACCAGGGTTTCAACTACGGCAACAAGTTCTCCGATGAGAGCTCCAAGTTCCAGGCCGACTTCGAGGCCGAGTTCAAGGCCGCCAAGAACCTCAAGACCACCTCCGGCTTCACCTCCGCCCGTCTCTACACCATGATCGTACGTCTGCCCCAGATGACAATGGATCTCATATAATGATTGCGCATCTGCTAACTGCCCCATAGCAAGCCTACTCCACCAGCGATGTCATCGAGGCCATCCCCGCCGCCATTGCCCAGGATACTTCCCTTCTGCTCGGTCTCTGGGCCTCCGGTGGTGGCATGGACAACGAAATCACCGCCCTGAAGACCGCCATCTCCCAGTACGGTGAGGAGCTCGGCAAGCTCGTCGTCGGTATCTCCGTCGGCAGTGAGGATCTCTACCGTAACTCCGTCGAGGGTGTCGAGGCCGATGCCGGTGTCGGTGTCAACCCCGACGAGCTTGTCGCCTACATCAAGGAGGTCCGCTCCGTCATCTCCGGTACTGCCCTCGCCGACGTCTCCATCGGTCACGTCGACACCTGGGACTCCTGGACCAACAGCTCCAACTCTGCCGTCGTCGAGGCCGTCGACTGGCTGGGCTTTGACGGCTACCCCTTCTTCCAGAGCAGCATGGCCAACTCCATTGACAACGCCAAGTCCCTCTTCGAGGAGTCCGTCGAGAAGACCAAGGCTGTCGCCGGTGACAAGGAGGTCTGGATCACTGAGACTGGTTGGCCCGTCAGCGGTGACTCCGAGGGTGATGCTGTCGCCAACATCGCCAATGCTAAGAAGTTCTGGGACGAGGTCGGCTGCCCTCTCTTCGGTAACGTCAACACCTGGTGGTACATCCTGCAGGATGCCTCCCCCACCACCCCCAACCCCAGCTTCGGTATCGTCGGCAGCGAGCTCTCCACCACTCCCCTGTTCGACCTGTCCTGCAAGAACTCCACCACCACCTCCTCCTCGTCCGCCGTTGTCTCTGCTGCTGCCTCTTCCGCCGCCGGTAGCAAGGCTGTCGGTTCCTCCTCCGGTGCCCAGGCCTCTGCCACCCCCAGCTTCACCGTTGGCCGCCCTGGCGTGAACGGCACCGTCTTCGGTAACGGCACCTACCCCCTCCGCCCCAGCGGTTCCGCCTCTGCTCGTCCCTCTGCCGGTGCCATCTCCAGCGGCTCTGGCTCCGGCTCCAGCGGCTCTGGCTCCGGCTCCAGCGGTTCGGGCAGCTCTGGTAGCACCGGCACCTCGGCCACCTCCGGCCAGTCCTCCACCTCCGGCTCTGCGGCCGCTGGCTCTTCCTCCCCCGCTGCCTTCAGCGGTGCCAGCACCCTCTCCGGCTCCCTCTTCGGTGCCGTTGTGGCCGTCTTCATGACCCTGGCTGCTTTGTAAGGAAATGAACGGATGACACGGGTTTCCCTCCCCGCCACCCTCGTCTCTTGGTGATAGGAGTTCTCTCGTTTTTGGGTAGCCCCGATTTTGTGTTCCGGTGTTCTTTTCGGTCGACCTTCACTTCTTGATACATATTTTTTCCATCAAAACTATTTTTGCTTGCCATGGTTGGCCCGGATGATAGACAAATGTTAATTTAGACTTGAGCTCTTTCCATCCAGCTGCATGATCAAGCGCATTGCAATCGACCGAATTGTGGGTTTGTAGATATACTTCCTAACAGGTTACCAGCCTACAAGCCTCAGTAATTCCCTCGACAGCCCGTATTCATCATAGTTCTAAGCGTGTTCCATAAGCGCGGTTACTGCCGAGTGCATCGATGTCCCGATTGTTCCCATGAGGTGCCAGCGTTGCATTCCGTATAGTATCAGGTGACCCTTCTTGCTGTTGGATCCCTTGCTGGTTTGCTTCCTTGCAGTGATGCGAATGACTTACTTAACAAATGTCCGCTATATGCCTAAACTGACAAGATATTTAAATAAAAAGACTGACGGTTTTTACTGGTTACTTTATTTGACGATCAGAGTTAAATCACGAGTTCAATTCGGCTCAAAAAAGTAGTACTGTTCACCTCGGTCGCTAGTAGTAGGAGTAAGTTAGTGGTTTCAAGATGCCGGATGTCAATATATGTATGTTTATTTACTTGTGATTTAAACAGCATCCTGCCATCCCGAATTGAAATTCGTTACTCGTGGCACACATCTGCAAATTAAAACGATACATCAATAATCAACTGCTAATATCTAGTCCACGAACTTTCTATCAATATCCTCGAAGGAATAATTGGCCATCATCATGGTATGAACCTTCGATTTTCTACAGGTTCAACCAGTGTCCCGATCGGGAATAGTCAGGTTGCAGGTTGCAGAAATGGTCCTTCCTAGTTGGGAGGCGGTGTGACAGACATCCATTTTCTCCATCTTCAATGCAACATCTCCTTTAAAATGTTGTCTGAATTGCAACACTCGTTGCATCGGGCAACTTCGGGGCCCGCTGGGTGATCCTTTTCCCTGCATCGCATCTACTTGAATGGAACTGTGGTAGTGAAAACTCTGGCAAGGTACCATCCATCCATGGCTGTTCCATCCACGGTTCTCCCATCGAATGTCTGGCTCAGGCTATAGGACTGTCCGTGCGAGTCACGTGCTGACAGCGTCTCCTCCAGTCATTCTCTGCCTTGCATCTTTGTCCCCCCACAAACATACTTTTCATTAGACTAGACTATTCCAGAATACCCCTGTGGGCCTGGACGCATCATCCCACCATATCCCTACTATGTTGTACGCTATAGGAACCCTGCTTGCAAACATCCTAAAGGATGCAGACTGTAGATTTCAGATCAGAACAAGGGATGCCGCTTTTGCCTTCGCTCGTCAGCTATCTGACGAGAATTGAAAACATATCCTACTAGTGGACAAGTTCCCCAGAATTCAGGGTATTCTCGCCTTATCCTGTGATGCCGCATCTGAGAAGAAAAGCCGTTGTGACCAGTATGCAGCAGCAGCAGCAGCAGCAGCGTTATCTGATCCAATAGTAGGGATTGTGCTGAGAGATCTTCTGCAGCCAACGGACACGATGGATTGACTGCTTTCGAAGCAGCATTGTCTGGTTCACAATACAATTGCAACGTGTTGCCCCACAACAGACCATGGTCTGGCTGCTACTAGGCCTCCTGTAGCTGGCCTGGTCGTCATGCCCGTTGCCATTGAATACATTCAGTCTGAGTAGGAATAGGTACACTGTCTGGGATATCTTCTGGGAGCCATGGCATGCAACAAGACAGCAGGGTGGGCTCATCCTATGTACCCAGTCCATATCCGATAACCCGGACCATACCTAGTTGTCTACTTTGCGCTCTTGCAACCTTCATTCTCGTACGACTGCGGTTCTTGACCTGCCCACAACCCTTAGCTCGTATAATCCAAACATCGATGGATACTGCTTGAGTAATTGATCAGGAGCTTCAAGGTCTCCGATCAGCCCATTGATCACTGGATTGGCCGACTGTCTTTGTTGGGAAACCTCACCCGACCTGATTCGGGAGATTAGAATGTAGGGCATGTTCTCAAAACATGCAGTTCTGGAAGGAACCGAGCAGCCACTGCCGAGAATCTTCCTGATAAGCGGGAGGGTGCAGCGGAGACTTTCACCTTTGCAGAAGATGATCGCCGCCAGCCGCGTTAGCCCGTTTCAACGCTCTTCTTCTGGTGGACCAGCTTTAAGCTTAATCCCCCAGTCATGCCAACTGCTGAGACCCGATCTCGTTATCATCAGTTGCAGAACCTGTACCTGCAGGGCCTCGTCATCCTTGATCCATTCTTTATTTCCTTCTCGCCACGCAGCACCCAAACCTTGCCACTTTCAGGTTCATCGGCCGGATCAGTTCTCTCGGTTACATCCGAACCGGCGGACGACCGCATCCTCAATCAAGATGGTTGTTTCCAATGCTTCGTGGGTGGGGTAGATTACGTTGCTTGCAATGGTTGCAGAACCATTCCAATATTCTCTCAGACGTATATAGTGACTACGGATCCCTGCTGCAGTCAATTTTCTACTCAACCAGTCCCTCCTTCAGTCTCCCCTTTACCTTTGGTCAGTCGTTCATTATGTCCAAGTTCCTCCTTTGGACCGTCTCCGCGGCGGCCCTCGCGCGCGCCGCGACTCTCGAGCAGGTCTGTACCGTTGCTCACGCAAAGGCCGCCGTGCCCGCATCCGGCCTGGTGCAGGGTGTGGTCACCAACCCTTCCAGTGTCACTGCGGTTCCCGTCTACAATGAATCCACCTCTGGATCCGACTACTACCCGGCCGGAACCTATGATTACTGCAATATCACCATGACTTATTCTCATGCCGGCAAGGACGACAGCGTCCTGCTGCAATTCTGGATGCCCACTCCTGATGACTTCCAGAACCGCTGGGTTTCCACCGGTGGTTTTGGCTTTGCCATCAACGTTGCCTCCAACGTGCCTGCTGGTCTTCCCTACGGTGCCGTCGCCGGCCGGACCGACGGTGGCTTTGGCAGCTTCGACACCGAGTTCTCCTCTGTGTACCCCTTGGTGAATGGTACCGCCAACTACGATGCCCTGTACATGTTCGGCTACCAGGCCCACCATGAGATGTCCTCCATCGGCAAAGCGTTCACCAAGAACTTCTACAGCATGTCGGACAAGCTCTATGCCTACTACCAGGGTTGCTCCGAGGGTGGTCGTGAAGGCTGGAGTCAGGTGCAGCGCTTCCCCGAGGAGTGGGATGGTGCCGTCATTGGTGCTCCTGCCATCCGTTATGGCCAGCAGCAGGTGAACCACCTGGTGCCTCAGGTCGTGGAGCAGACCCTCGACTACTACCCTGAGAACTGCGAGTTCTCCGAGATGGTGACCCTGATCATTGACGCCTGCGATGAACTCGATGGCCGCAAGGACGGCGTCATCGGCCGCACAGATCTGTGCCAGCTCAACTTCGACCTCAAGTCCACCATCGGTAAGCCTTACGCCTGCAACGCCACCACCAGCATGGGTGTGACCACCCCGGCCCAGAACGGCACCATCACGGCGGAGGGTGTGCGCGTCGCTCAGACCATCCTGGACGGATTGAAGGACTCTCAGGGTCGTCAGGCCTACTTCTGGTACCGCATTGGTTCGGAGTTCACCGATGCAGAGACCACCTACGACTCGACGACCGGCACCTACGGTATCGACATCTCCGAGCTCGGTGGTGAGTGGGTGACTCACGGACTGCAGCTGCTGGACCTTGACAACCTCTCGACTCTGGACAACGTCACCTACGACACCCTGCGTGACTGGATGCTCGAGGGTCTCCAGCGCTACGAGGATGTCCTGCAGACCACCTGGCCCGACCTGTCCCGCTTCCAGGCTGCAGGCGGCAAGGTCATCCACTACCACGGTGAATCGGACAACAGCATCCCTCCCGCGTCTTCGGTGCGCTACTTCGAGTCCGTCCGCGACACCATGTTCCCCAACAAGACCTACAACGCCTCGGTTGAAGCCCTGAACGAGTTCTACCGTCTCTACCTGGTTCCCGGTGCTTCCCACTGCAACACCAACTCTCTGCAGCCCAACGGACCTTACCCCCAGAACTCCCTCGGCGACCTGATGAACTGGGTTGAGAAGGGCATCGAGCCTGTGACTCTGAACGGTACGGTGCTGAGCGGCGATCTCGAGGGAGAGAAGCAGAAGATCTGCTCGTGGCCTCTGCGTCCTCTGTGGAAGAACAACGGCACGGAGATGGAGTGCGTGTACGACCAGAAGTCGATTGACACATGGTTGTATGATCTGGACGCGTATGACATTCCGATCTACTAGTGCCTTTTAAGTAAAGGTCCATTCTGTACATTGTACATTAGTGTGAACATAATACCAGCCACAACTGGAATCATCAAACTCTATACCCAGAACCAAAGTAGACCCCAACCAGGTAATAAGGATTAAACTTCCGACCATCGGCTCATCCCGTAGGCAACAACATCATAATGATCCCCCTTCTCAAGCTTATCCCCACCTCAACCAACACCTTACCTACCTACACCTCAAACCTCAAAAACAACCAACCACCATGAAAATCATCATCATCGGCGCCGGCATCTCCGGCTGCGCCGCATACCTCACCCTCCGAAAACACCTCCCCCCACCACCCCCCTCATCACCTCCCCAAGACCACGAATACACCATCTACGAAGCATACCCCAGCACCAGCTCCCCCAACCCCACAAACAAAATAACCATAGGCGGCGGCCTCGGCATCGCCCCCAACGGCCTGCGCGTCCTCGAACGCCTCGACGAGAACATCCTCCGCGACGCCGTCACCAGCGGCTACATGCTCGACCACACCAACCTGAAAGATAAGCACGGGACGACACTAATCCAACTGCCATCATCATCCTCATCCAGCGGAAGTAGTGAAAGTAGTGGGGACAGAAGCAAAGCACTCCACCTCCTCGGCACAAGCCGGCACAACTTCTGGCTCTCCCTGCGCAGGCGCATCCCGGAGAACGTGATCGTGTACAATAAGCGTGTAGCGGGGGTGATTACCCATCCTACACAGCGGAATACGGTCACGTTCGTGGATGGGAGTGAGCCTGTGTATGCGGATTTAGTGATTGGGGCGGATGGGTTGAGGAGTGTGGTGAGGGGGGGTATACTTGATGGTGAGGGGGATGGGCCGAGATATGAGTATCTACCCTATCCTATCCTATCCTAGCCTATATATCTATCTCATGAATGAAGTGAAGTAAAATACTAATAATATATATAAATATAGAGGCCTCATCGGCATCGGCGGCTTCCTGCCCACTTCCACCATCCCCCAAACCATCACCACCACCACTATCGGTGGTATAGAATCTGGCTCCCTAAACCTCCACTTCAGCGGCACAGGCTTCTTCGGCTACTTCTACGCCACCAGCTCACCCACCTCCCCGACGCGCTCTTCAGCATATCATGTTTCTGAGCCGGGGGATACACTAGTCTGGTGGACTACCTACTCAACACCTACATCTACACCTACCCCTCCCGATGGGAGGGATGTAGATGTGGATGACGTGAAATCCCAATTAAAATCGAGATTCTCCACCTGGACCGACCCCCTCGTACTTCACATCATCAACTCCGTCGAGGTGCAGACCATGTGGCCTACCTTCACCACTCCCGAGCTTCCGACATGGGAGAGGGAGGGCGTGGTGTTGGTGGGGGATGCGGCGCATGCGTTGCCGTCGACGTCGGGCCAGGGGGCGAGTCAGGCGTTGGAGGATGTGGAGGCGTTGGCGAGGTTGGTGGGGCATGAGGTTGGGGTTTTGTATATGGAGGAGCAGATGAGGGGGGGTGGTGGTGGTGGTGGGATCGGGGTTGAGGGGGAGAAGAGGGCGATTCAGGTGGCGTGTAAGAGGTATGTGGAGATGAGGATGCCGAGGGTAAAGGGGATTTTGGATACGGCGAGGGGAATGCAGAATAGTAAGAGGGACATGGGCGGGTGGGGGGAGTGGGTGATGTATTGGGTTATGTGGGTTATGGGTATGTCTATTCCTTGGGTTGTTGAGAGAGGATCGTGCTAATGTGGGTAGGGTTCTTTCCTGGGTTGGTTGCAAGGCAGCAGCAGGAGGTATTTGATTATGATTTGCCCGCGGAGGTGGAGCGGGTGTTGGATCGAGGATTGTAGTGTCATTCGTCGTATATAGTATCAAGCCGCAACTCTCTCCTCATGAGCACTATTCACCTTCTCTTCGAACCGCTTCTCTTCATCCTCTTCCCTCTCTACCGGCCCATCGAAGATTACCGCCACCTGCTCCAACGAGTACCCCTTCGTCTCCGGGTAGAAGAAGAATGCAGTCACTGCAAACAGCACCAGCACCACAATAAACACAATGTAATACCGCCACCCAATCGCGTCCAGAGCAATCGGATTCACAAATGTATTGAAGAACATGCCGCTAATCGTCGCCACCCAGGTCACGGTCAGACCGCGGGATCGTAGTCGGTACGGCCAGATTTCGCAGGGGTACGAAGTTAAGAATGGTGTCCTAGACCACATTAGCATAAACACGAAGTTACTGCTGCTGCTGGTGGTACTAACAAAGCAATGCAGTATCCTGAAAAGTAGATAAAAAGGAACGGGATCACAGCAGCCCCGGTGGCCGAGTTGTTAGTGGACTGGAAAGATCCTGAGAGCGCTGTCACCAGGACGTAGCTGACGAACATGATGCCCGCCGAGGAAAGGAACAGTGGACGGCGACCAAAGTTATCGATCAGGAACGCTCCTAAAATAGCAAAGATGAGATCCCACATCTGCAGACAGGCCGAGATGAGTGTCTGGTCACGAACAGTGGTAATTCCGATCGAGTCCAAGATGAGCGACAGGTAATACGAGATCACTCCGTTGCCGGTCCACTGCGCGAATAGTCCCAAAGTAATAGAGATCATCAGGCGCCATCGGTTACCCGGTGTCTTCACCATCTCCATGTAGCTGCCACTGCTGTGGGCTTCTTGCTCCGCTTGGATGGTCGAAGTGATCTCGGAGAATTCATATGCCACAAGGGGAGAGCTCTCATCGCCAGCCGCGTGATAGCGCGTAAGGATTGCCCGAGCCTCCTCGTTGCGGCCTACCGAGATCAGCCAGCGAGGGCTTTCCGGGGCCAGAAGGAACCCCGGTAATCCAACAACAGGCACTAGGGCCTGAAGAACAGAAGGGAGTCGCCAAGCCCAAGAGGAGCTGTAGGTACGAGAGGCAAAGACGACCCAAGCAGCGACCGTCCCACCGACATACCACCCAGACATGAACAGCGAGTTGAAAATGCTGCGGTGAGTCGGGTAAGCAACCTCGTTGATCAGCAAAGGAACGGCATTGCCGAACAGGGCAGACGCGCCCCCAAGAAAGAGACGAGCAAGCATAAACGCAGTTGCATTGGGGGCAGCAGTCTGGAGGGCACAGCCTAGCGTCAAGAAAAGGTATCCGAGGTAGACGCCTGGCTTGCGCCCATATCGATTGGCAATCCAGGATGCACTTGGGTAGCCAATGCCGCAGCCAAGCCAGTAGATGGCATTCAGCCGCCCCAGTTTTGCTCCGGTAGGATTGTTCATAAAGGTTTTCCACTGGTCCAAGGCTTCAAGACCGTTCATGAGAGATCCGTCAAAGCCGTTGGCGGATGAGAACATAACCAATGAAATAATGATGAGGTTGAGTCGCAGCAAATGAGGCTGCTTATACCATGCAGGACCTGAAGGGAGGGCCGCTGCGAGGTGATCTTCTCCTGCATGCTTGCTCGATGTGTCTGCTTTGCTGATGCCCATTGTGAGTTCCGACGTTTGACGAAGACAACAAGCTCGGCATAGGCAAACCGAGGAAGCGCAGGCTATTTCAAGGATGGCCTGAGAGGCGCCGATATGTCGGCGGTTTATTCCTTCGCACCCCGCTAGCTACGTCTCGTGTGGCCTTTCTGGAACACGACGGCTGCTGAACGAAGCCGCTGATGCTATTAGCGAACTTATACCCTGCACATAATCCGGAACCAAGCCATGTTAAACCGCCAATAGCAGCGAGGCGGCTATACCCAGACCCATGACGCGAAAGACGCTGGACGGCTCATCATGGTGCTTAACCCACAGACGCACGGTTATCTGGGAAACGGCAACGAGGACAGTGTGGAGAACTGGGGGAAGTTGGGGTAGGGCAACGGCAAGGAGTCGGGGAAGAACAGACGGAGAAACGGAGAAAAGGAGAAACGGAGAATTAGAGGAGCTCTGAAGCCAGTCAAATGGGACTGGATGGCTTTAAGAATCAATCAGAACTCGCGGAGCTGGTGGAGCTGGCCCGTCGACCCAGAGATCACCCCATCCATGCTGGTATCGGTCGGCACTGTGCGAGCTCCCGTGTACTCCTCCGAAGACGCACTGCGATGTCCATCCGCACGTTTGCGAGAACATAATTAGTTGGTGCGCCCAGGGCTCGACAAGATGGAGGTGGAAATCTGTGAGCATCTGTCTCAGCTCCCGACAAACCATCCCAAACCACACGCTGTAGCAGACTGTACATATCATGTCTTGCGTACATGCCGCCGCCGAGACGGACAAGTCCTTTGTTCAAATCGCAAACGCCGATATTGAAGAGCTCATCAAGCAACTGACCCTAGATGAAAAAGTTGCTCTGCTAACAGGTATGCCCGCGACGCACAGCTTCCTGAATATGATCAAAAACTGACTGCTTCTGGCTAGGTGACGATTTCTGGCACACCGTTCCAATATCCCGGCTCGGGATCCCGTCAATTCGCCTGTCTGACGGCCCGAATGGCGTCCGTGGCACCCGCTTCTTTGGTAGCGTGCCAGCAGCTTGTCTGCCCTGCGGTACGGCCATTGGAGCGACATTTAATAAAGATCTCGCTGTGCAGGTTGGCCATCTGCTAGCGGCAGAGGCCAAGGCCAAAGGCGCCCATGTTGTCCTTGGCCCGACAATAAACATCCAGCGAGGTCCTCTGGGAGGGCGGGGGTTCGAGTCGTTTTCTGAGGACCCGTTGTTGTCAGGAATTATAGCAGGTCATTATTGCAAAGGCTTGAAGGAGGAGAACATCGTTGCAACGCTTAAACACTTCGTATGCAATGACCAGGAACATGAGCGCATGGCTGTCAATTCCATTCTCACCGACCGGGCGCTGAGGGAGATCTACCTTCTCCCATTCATGATCGCGATTTCCCTGGGAAAGCCCGAAGCCATCATGACGGCATACAACAAAGTGAACGGGCTTCATGCATCGGAGAGTCCAACACTTCTTCAAGACATCTTACGTGAAGAATGGGGTTGGGAGGGTCTGTTCATGAGCGACTGGTAAGGTTTCCTGAATCGTGATCACGCTTGTTTTAACCCTTTTCGTTGCTGATTCACTGGCAGGTTTGGAACATATAGTACATCCGAGGCCATCAACGCTGGACTCGATCTCGAAATGCCAGGGCCGACAAGATGGCGCGGCAGTGCTCTGTCACATGCCATCACCGCAAACAAGATTCGCATGGCGACGGTAAATACCCGTGTTCGCGCTGTGCTGCGTCTGGTCCAGCAAGCCAGCCGATCGGGTATTCCTGAGCGTGCCCCGGAGTTGCAGCTGAACCGTGCTGAGGATAGACGGCTACTCAGGAAGATCGCCTCAGAGGCAGTCGTCCTCCTCAAGAACGATGACAGCATTCTGCCCCTGGACAAGACCAAGAAAATAGCCATCATCGGCCCTAATTCCAAGATTGCTACCTACTGTGGAGGGGGAAGTGCAGCGCTCAATCCTTACCAAGCTGTAACTCCCTTTGAGGGAATTTCAAACTCGGCTTCCGGCGGCGTGGAGTTCGCTCAGGGGATATATGGACACCAAAAACAGCCCTTGCTTGGGGAGCGCCTGCGGACTAAGGATGGCCTTACTGGATTTACCTTGAGAATCTTCAATGACTCTCCCACCGTAGAGAACAGAGTACCACTCGAGGAACGACACGAGACGGACCCGATGGTCTTCTTCCTTGATTACAACCACCCAGAGCTGCAACCCGTGTGGTTTGCAGACGCAGAGGGATACTTTGTCCCAGAGGAATCCGGCCTATACGATTTTGGTCTTTGTGTGCAAGGGACGGGCAAGCTATATGTGGATGGAAACCTATTAGTCAATAACGCTGATGTACAAAGGCCGGGGTCCAGCTTCCTCGGGAGCGGCACTATGGAAGAAAGAGGCACATTGGAGCTCACGGCCGGTCGGCAGAACAAGATCCATGTGCAGTGGGGATGTGCTAAAACCAGCACGTTCAAGGTTCCCGGGGTAGTCGACTTTGGCCACGGTGGCTTCCGATTCGGCGCCTGTAAGCAGCTCTCGCCTTCTAAAGGCATCGAAGAGGCAGTGCAGCTGGCTGCATCGGTTGATCAGGTCATACTCGTGGCTGGTCTGAGTGCGGAATGGGAATCAGAGGGCGAGGATCGTACGAGCATGAGCCTGCCGCCACATACAGATGAGTTGATCTCTCGTGTACTTGAGGTGAATCCGGACACTGTTGTCGTCCTTCAAAGCGGAACTCCCGTGGAGATGCCCTGGATTCAGAAGGCAAAGGCAGTGCTTCACGCCTGGTATGGCGGTAACGAAACTGGAAATGGCCTTGCGGATGTCATCTTCGGCGACGTGAACCCGGTAAGTCCTTCATTCCAGCTGGCCTGGCACTGCTGACTCATTCGGATGTCCTAACTAGTCTGGCAAACTTCCACTCACCTTCCCCCGCCACGTCAAACACAATCCCACCTATTTCAATTATCGATCAGAGGGTGGTAGAGTCCTATATGGTGAGGACGTATATGTCGGTTACCGGTTCTATGACGAGGCTGAGGTCGATCCGCTGTTCCCTTTCGGCCATGGTCTCTCGTACACAACATTCGAACTATCGGGGCTGTCCCTCGAAAGGGAGGCATGTTCACTGCAAGCCACATGCACAGTGCGTAACACCGGATCCAGGGCTGGAGCGGAGGTGATACAGCTATATGTCTCCCCGGTATCGCCGCCAATTAAGCGGCCACTGAAGGAGCTAAAGGGTTTCCGAAAAGTCCGGTTAGAGGCAGGTGCGGAAGAGGTAGTACAGATCCCGCTGGACCTTATCCGCGCGACAAGCTTCTGGGATGAGAAGAGCAGTAGCTGGTGCAGCCACAGTGGCACATATCAAATTATGCTTGGCACCAGTAGCCGTGGGACGTTCTTGGAGGACTCCATTGAAACGAGTGAGACCAATTTCTGGTCGGGACTCTGAGCGGGGCTGGATAGCAAGAAATAGCACGCTGCCATTATTATGAACTTCCTTTTATTCGATCTGTATCTATCCAAGTTTGAAGATGCATTGTGACCATGCTTTCGCTACTGTCTATGCGGGACAGGATGTCGGTTGACTGTCGTAGGTACTCGGTTGCTCGCTCCGCTTCCGGGCCAGCAGGATGGAATGGGCATACCAGCAGGCCCGCCGCGATATCACGCACTTTGTGCGCCAAATGTAGACCGTTCGCTTCCAGGTGATCTGGGGCAGGTTGAATAGGATGCAGAACAATTGACGACAAAGATCCTCCCTCTGGAGCCACAACGCTTTTGCATCAAGCATTGGTTGTGCATGGTCGGTAGATGTTAATGATAGCTCTGATTTGTGCGCCTGCGCCGCCTCCAGCTGATCAACAAGCAAGATTTGTAGCCACAGGTGTGTGACATGTAGGTTCACACGCATAGAAGCAAAATGTGACTGCGTCATCTCCGTCACACCAGTGCTTCCACCGTTAGCGATAGCCTCGGTATCCGATGGCTGCCATGGACGGAGAAGAGGTGGGATATCATCCAGTAAGAACCGTAAATTGTGAAGACGATCCTGGATGTAAGAAATCTGCACGGCTGGATCCCGGGCTCTTACACAGGGACACGGGCCAGCCGGTGATTCTGGACAGGCGCTCCTGATAGCAGCCCAAAACACCTTGTAATGGGGGATAAAGCCCGTTACCAGGCATGGACTTTGGGACGGTGGCATAAGCACCTCGTTCTCGAAGATAAATTCGTCATCAACTTCGAGTGGCATGAGATCTTCCGGATTAATGGAAAGAAGAAGGATGGGGTCCAGGTATGGCAATCGCTCTCCCAGCACATTCTGCAGTTGATTATGGCTGGATGAAATGAGCAAGACTGCAAGACAGCTACTCTCCGGGTCATGCCGACTTACACGAATCCGTAGAAAATCAACCAAAAGCCCTTCTTCCGCAGTTGAGTCTCGATGCAATTAAGCCCATCATATTCAGAGATGCGACGGAGGTTTAACAGGCGAGCGAGTTGTGTTGCCTCCACATCTAACATACGGGACCAATTATGGTCACCCAACTGCCGAAATGCAGCATACAGCAAGTACGAGATGGCAAACTTCTGAAAGTTAATATGGTCGAAGTAGGTCGAGTCCCTCAGCCGCAAAATTTTGTCATAGCAATGACGGACCATGTCCCTACGTGACGTGAATCTCAGGGGTGGGTTTGCACATCGATATGAGTGAAACCTGCTGGGCATAGTGGCGATAACCACCGCAGCGATGGCGGTGACGAGGCCAAGGAATCCGCTATCCTCGCGGTCATGGTTCTCCTGCAACGACTGTCGAAAAGACGGCTGATGCACTATTGGAATCAGGGGATACAGGTAATCCAAATAGTCCTGCATGATGCAGGTAAATAGGGGTCGATCGCACAGATCATCCGTGGGATAATTGATGGCACCCAAAACCCGGGCCTCCCCATTCTCTCCATCTGGCTGCGTTTGTGCCGGAGATATTGTACGTTAACTTGGGGTATACGTTAGCAATGACCACTCACTGCAGAAGGAGACTCGAGCAGCGTACCGTTTCTTCGGGCCTCGCGTCCGGGATGGAGATAGAAAGGTGCACGGCAGGTCCAATCTAGCACAGCGCCCACATCTGGAAGGGGCATCAGTCGATGCCGAAGTCACATTGCATTTGACCTTGCGCTTCCGGCAGATGTCACAAGCCTGGGTAGCTAACTCTGCACGCGTAGTCATGGCAGCATTTATTCCCAATAGCAGACGGCCGAAAGAGAAGTACTGGACGGTTGGGTGGTTGGATATTGCCGGCTGCCAGCGGTTGGTAGATTGCACGGTGCTGCCTGCATGCCTGAGGCATGACAACCAACACAAAATGTCAGTGTCTGTGCTGTTTAGTTAGTTATGTAGATGGTGCTTAATCAGCACGCATAATTCCAGCTTGCCTCCCATCATACTCAACAGCACTCAATCAACCGTCTGCTGTTAGTGTAGGACATTGAGACCTAGTACTCAATTTTCGATCATATACAAGGGAAGCTTAACCTATGGCTTGGATTGTAGGCTGTCCGGAGCTTCAATCTTCAGACAGGCAAATACAAACCCACCGTAGATTAGGGTACAAGAAATTGCGACCGGATAACTCCACTACAGAGGACAATCTTGAAGTAATAGATAGGAAGATAGATGGTAACATATTATGTACTCATGAAAAAATCATTAGCTAGTCCGTCATGCAAATAAACCCGTCACGCCGTCATCTGCCGCGGTCCCAGACACGCGGCAAAAGAATTCGCTCATAAACGCCATTAATGATGTAAAGTCTACATATATAGACGCACATTCAGCTGTCTGTGTTGGCACAGGTGAAACTGTTGCCGTTGGCATCGTTGTGGATGGCAGTCCCCGAGGCATAGAGACCCAGGACACACAGCACCAAACCGAACACGGCGATACCGGCATTCAGCACGGTCAGGGCGATCTTGCGGGGGCTGGCAAACCACTGGCCGTAGTTAAGGTGGAGCCAGTAGATACCACTGAGACCATAACTGAACCAACTAGCGAAGAGAGCGCTCTGAATTATGACATTAGCCATAGAACGAGATGAAACTGTGCAGGGAAGTAGGTGACTTACAATCAGAGAGTTGAGGTCGCTGAAGACAGGGATGGCCTCGGCGATAATCCAGGCAACCAGCCAGCAGGCCAAGCCCAAGGCGATCCAGACAAGGACCGAGCGGCGGCTACGGCTGTGGATGAGACCTGACTTGGAGCAAGTGCGGAAGTAGATGTACTTCAAGCCAATGTGACCATTAACGACACCGGCACCGACAATCTGCGGAGATGTTAGTGTTCGTGGAACGAACAAATTCATCAGTTGGTTTACTTACGGTGGGAATGGCAAATCCATAGGCAATCTTCTTCAGAAGAGGACCAGCGGAGCTGAGAGCGGGAGATTGCACATCCTTGCCGACGTAGTAGTAGATGACGCAGGCAGCAGTCACGTACAGACTGATTTCAAAGGTCTGCAGCATGAACAGCGACTTCTTGAAGTCCTTGGGCTGCTCCATCTCGGCGATAAGACCGAAGAAAGCGACGTGCGCACAGTAGGCGAAGACAATGTTGGAGACCGCGGTGAAGGCCGTGTAGAGGGTGGTGTCGACAGTGGCCTCGATGATGCGACCGGGGTGCTTCTCAACACCCACACCGATCATGGTGATCATGACAGCACTGAAGATACTGAGGAAGGCTAAACGGCAAGATGCCAGTCAGATCATGATTCGTACGCAGGCAATTGAGAAGTGTACTCACAGGCAAAGGAAATCCAGGTCATGCCCTTCATGGTACGGGGGATGGAGAGGACCATGGAAATGACCATGCCAATCACACTGAAGACGATGGAGCAGGTGCCATGGTCGGTGATGGTGTTCATCATGACACGGAAGGTCAGGAGGTGGCTGCCCATGACGAAGATGCAAAAGAGGAACTGGCCCAGGCCGAAGAGTTCACGGCCAAAAGGGCCCATCAGGATTTCTCCCGCATCGGCGAGGTTCTGAATGTGGGGGTAGCGTTCTCTGAACAATCCAATGTTGTAACCGGTGTAGGTCGCGAGAATTCCGAGACCAACGATGAGGATGATGGCCCTGAAGGATGGGAGTTAGCGGATTGTGAGGTTGCATCGTTGATCCGGCTAGACTTACGGGACGAAACCCAGGGTTGCAACGGCGGCGGGTAGCGAGAGCACACCCAGCGAGACAGACTCGCAAATCATGACTGCGGATGTATTAGAGTTTGAGGTGCAGAGGAGATTAGGAAGAGAGCATACGCAGTCCACATTGCCTGTTGTGAATGTGTTAGCAGGAATTACGTAGTAATAGTGGGAGGCGGGGAGCGGATACATACCACCACTTCAAGGTCTTGTACTTGATTTCCGCAAACTCCTCATTACCGAAAGCGTCGGACTCCTCCAGGCCCGGCTTGAGATTCTGCTCCACCTGGCTGATATCCTCCTTCTTCTCGTCAATGCCATCAGTGGTGTAGGGAGGGGGACTGTCGTGAACGGCCTCCATGGTGGTGAGGTGTAAGGGTGCAGGCCGTGTTGAAAGGCGGAAGGTAAGGGGAGGAGCGGGAGGCGGGAAAGGAAGAAGATGAGGTGAAGACAGGAAGATGAGGAGAGGAGGAGGAGAGAGAAGGAGGAGAAGAGTGGAGGCAAGGGAAGAGGAGCTGGGGGGATGGGGGAGACTAAAAGGATGATTCGGAAAAAGTCTGCGGATAATATATGGTGATTTAAAAGGCACAGACAGGATTGAGTTTCGGGCAGGCACGAGTTGACAAGCCGGAAATTCTGGGGACAACAAATTGACTGGAGAGCTGAACCTGAGTGGAAGTGGAAGGCAACACTGATTCAGAGGCCGGGCTTGTGGGGAAACCCAAGCCAAAAGGGCCCCATCGTATGTTTCTACCGTTTTGAGACAAGCAACGGTTCTTCTCCTCACCGGACACTCGCTGATCGGACCGCATCCGAGGTTGATGACCATACATAAGTGGTCATCCCCCCGATGGCGGACTGTCCGCTCCAATCATGAAGGTTAAGATGACACAGGGAAACCATGGATGGGCTCCGCCAAGCACAGCGCCGTCGCTACCAGCGCCCCTCGGATCCCGCTTAGTCTACTTGTAGCGCCAGATGCGACGCGGTGCATCCCATCCCCGTCCGGACGTGTCTGCCGACAGAACGGCATCAGCCATCAAGAGCTCCTGCCAGGTCCGATGGTCGCTTCCCCGCAGAAGAACCGCGTGGGTAACGAGGAGATACTCGGCAGATAGGTCGATGGGTGGTGATATCTATCTATCAACCATGTGGTTTGACTAATTGTCGTTCCTCACTTGCTCGGCAATCCATCCAGACTAGACCAAGGAGTATCTAGTGACGATAAATTGCACTCCCTCACATCGCCCACTATCCGGGAGCTGGATCCGCTAGGCAGGTTGGGGCCTAGACAGCAGCCGGTCGCCTCACCGGTGCAGGAGCTTAAAGCTAAAGTGCAGCAAGCATTCCGCTATCGTGCAGAAGATCGCCATATTGTCGCAGCTTCTGTCGATAAGCATTTTTGTCGATGGCTTTATCACGGTAGATAAAGACCAAATATTATTGATTAATTGCACTTTTATACGAATATCCCTCTAATGTCTTGATAGCCCTGTTGATCATGAAATTGCTGGGGGGGCAATCTCGCTAGGAATGTGCCGTGGTGTGCGTGGCCACTTTCTGCAACACTTGTTGAGAAGCGAGCGGGCGAACAATGAACCGGCCTGTGCTGCAGGTACCCGCCACCGCAACCAACAAGTCACAGTGGCGGCATAGAATATCCTTCTTCTCTCTTCACCGGAGTAGCACCCTCCGAGTCCGAGCCGTCTTCTCTTCAAATATTATTGCTGTTGAGCCTCCCGGTGGGTGTTTCGGGCCTGATGGATCGTGCCCGCTTCTCTCTACTGGATCCAGCTAGATAGACTGGTCCTCGGCCGGAGGAATGGTTCTGGAAAGGAAGAACATCCCTAGCATCCATACTTTAGCGGTAGTATGAATAGTTAAGGCCTGCCAATTGAACGTGGCATATTAGATACTAGAGTGTGGACATCACCGTGAGACCCATGGCTTAGTGGAAGTGTTCACGCTTGAGATGAAGCACACAAAAAGTGGTGTCAGAATGGTTTCAGTTTTTGGTAGTATAATTGGGATGATCTGTTTGGGCTAGGAGAGGTGACGCACAGCCAGCCCCATGAAGCATCTCAGATGGGCGGGTGGCGAGGCAGAGGCAAGGGAATACGAGTAAAATTGAGTTGCGCGCATCGGAATGTGCCGAGACTGACTGTGCGACAAATTATCGCCGGCTGTTATCTCCGCTGCCTTATGTTGCTGGTCGAATCACGTGGATCGGTTTCCGGGCGGATGAGGGAGATTCCGCTCCGTTCTTTCTCCGTCGTGTCCATCCATTCCTTCAGGCTACAACTACTAGTTGGTTGGTTGGTTATTCTTCAGCTGTCGCCTCGGATCACCGCATAGTCTACTTGATGGTTCGCTTATCTCATTTCCATGGATCATGCTACCCGTGACAGATCCGATGCTCCTCTGGTGCCACTCCTGATGGCTACCTGTTGTCGCTCCCTCAAGAAATGCGTGATCTCCGAATAACATCAGTTATTCTCAATCTTCAAACCCAAACGAGATACTTCCTACATGAGTTCCAACAAGTGCACCGGTACCCCGGATGTCTCCACATATACAAGAACATTGGTTGACCATACGTGACTGGGGTCTACTATCTGCAAAGAACATCGCAGGGAATTTAAGCCCTGTGATATCATGAGCAGAAGGAGAATGAGGATGTTTTGATTGTTCATTGGCTAGGGACGCACGGATGCTCGGCGGACTGAATACTTCCGGGCCAAAGAGCTGGACTGATGATTTCTCTTGGTTGCGACCGCAGCGACCGAGCCATCTTTCTATAAGTAGGGTTGCTGACATCCAACTGTTTGCCCCACCACTTTTTGAACTCGTGTCGCTAGCTTTGCTCTTGCAAGTTACCGTTCATGAAGCGAGAGATCGACTTTCTGGCACGTTTGCAGACCCTACAGCTGTACCACAGTGCAGCCCTGAGGCTGTGACTAGAGTAGATTGGAATCAGATCAAAAGCGCCACGGATTCGCAGACTAACCCAACGTTAGAGACAAATACGAATAGA